AATTCTACAGATAGCAAGGATACTAATAATAATAATAATCATAACAATAATAATAATCGTAATAATATCAATAATAATAATAATAATAATAATCATAATAATGATGATAATAATAATAATATTAGAATAAATAATAATGATGAGAATAATTAAAAAATAATATGGAAAATAGGTATGCAAAATATCAGGGGTTTGAGAGACATAGTAAAACAAAATACGTGGTGAAACTATTGTATTGAAGAAAACTTTGACGTAGTCTTATTAACAAAAACAAAAACAACCAAAGAGACCGAAAAATTTATATTTTTCGAACAAAACTAAACATCCAACCCACAAGATCCATTATATAATATTTGGTGGTCATCAATAACAGAAGCTTATAATAACAACATTGGATCTGGAGTCGGCCTTATGGTAAAATCAAATATAGCTAAACATGTATATAAAATAGATAAATTTGAAGGACATGGCATATGTATTCTTTTATCATTTAAAGAAAGGGTAGTTTTTCAAATTATCGGAATCTATGTACCAAACAAATATTCGTCGAATAATATCATATTAAGAAAACTAAAACCTTAGTTCTATAATCATATCTCACAGGCCTTATCAAACAACTGGATCTCAATAATCATGGGAGACTGGAATGCCACCTCTGACCCAAGTAAAGATAGATTCTCCGTAAAAACTAAAACATCGCCGGAAAGCAACTTACTCCAATCAATTATTTGAAGTGGATATACGGACACATATAGATATCATAATGGGGATAAACAGGAATATACTTTTTATCAAATTTTTAAGGAAGAAATTAGAAGTAAAAGTTGTATTGACTCAATTTGGATACATCAATCACATGAGGAACTTATCATAGATGCAGATATAGACGATACGACTTTGATAGTAAATAGCGATCATTATTGTGCACACGTGACATTAGACGTGAGTAAATATTGTGATGGTACTAGTTATAAGAAGTATAAAAGGGTAAACTACAGAACTCCTTGACTTTGGAATTTGAAAATGGCGAATAAAGAAAACTGGGAGAAATTCACACAGGAGACAAGATGCTTGGAAAAAACAATTGCAGCTGGGAACAAACTTAGAATTAGTTGAAGATATATGGCAAAAAATCAAATCCACGATAATAAATGTAGGAAACAAAAATTTACTAAAAGCTAAGGAACCAAGAAATCGTACAGCTATCATGTGACAAAAACATTTGAAATATCCTATATTAAATATATTAAACAAATTATATCAATTAGGCAGTAAAATAGAAAGTACAAATAATATGAATGCACAAAAATTAGAAACTATAGAGTCAATGAAAAATAAATTAACAAACAAATACAAATTAAATGTTCAATCTTTTCCCTCAGCAGGATTACCTAAGGAAAAATTAGAATGGGTCAATAATATAAAGAAATTATGGATAACCATAAGAAATCTAATTAAACGAGAATTAATAGGAAAAAAGAAAAAAGAAATCAAACATAAGATCAAATTACGTCAAGAATTTCTAAACACTAAACCAAAACACATAATTGACAAAGTCTTAGATAGAGACTCCTGACAGATCATATTAGACCGAATTATAAACACACAAGAGGATAGAACAACACAAATAATCACAGATCCAATACAAATTAAAGATAAAGTAAAAGAACATTTGTATCAATGGACAAAGGGAACGCAAATAGACACATCAATAAAAAACACTTGTTGGGAAAATAGATACAAACCAATACCATCAATTAATAAAGAAATATATGATCCTTTGATAGAGGAGATAGGGAAAGATGAAATACTAAGAACAATTAAGCTAATGAATAACAACAAAGCACTGGGACCATCGCTGATACCATATGAAATTTTCAAACATTTAGAAGAAAAGGGTCTGGAAATGATAGGCAAACTATTCAATAATATTATTAAAACCGGTCAGATCCCTAAAGATTGGATCCATAGTAATGTTATATTGATACCGAAACCAAAGGACTGGAAGGGAAATCTGGAAATCACAAGATTCATAATTTTGATGAAGACTACAAGGAAAAAATTTAAGAAAATAATTACAATTAGATTATCAGGAATCTTAGTAGAACATAAAATCTTAACAGAAAATAATTACGCTGGCTTACCTGGCGGACGCACTGCACATCCTATACATATTATAAATAATATGATGGAAGATGCTCGTGAGGAAAAGAAGGAACTATGGTT